ATATTAAGTTTTAGGGATATATATATAATAAAATTCTGAAATCTCTAATATTTAAATCATCTTTATGTTATGAATATTTAAAACCTAAATTACATTTTTAAAACTTACTTCTCTTCCTTGCAATTTATGAAGTGTTACCAAACTATTCACATGCATCTTAAAACATTTATTTTCATCATCAAACTACTTTTTGAATCATCTAACAGTTTTTCAGAGTAAAACATTTTCACTTGTTTGAAAATTAGCAGTTTTGAGTCTGGTATAATGTCACTAGAAATTTTATCCAAAGGGACCATCAACCATTTGCAAAGAATTAAGACCACTGGACTTTCTCATTCCACCTAAGACAAGCGGACATCCATAATTTCTGCAACCAAACCACTTAATCCATCACATTTCAAAGAAATATTCAAGAAGCCAGTTAATAAAGAAATCTAACCCAACTATAAGGCTATGACTTCCAGAGTAATTCCAGACGTATTACATTCCATACTTTCTTTATTAATTTCTCTCTGGCTGCACGGGGTCTTCCTTGTTGCTCGCAGGCTTTCTCCAGTTGCGCTGTGAGGTGTCTCATCGCACTGGCTCCTCGCATCGTGGAGCAGGGGCTCTAGGAAACACAGGCTTTAGCAGCTGCAGCACGTGGTTTCAGGCCTTTGACACTTGGGCTTCAGTAGTTGCCTCACATCAACTATGGAGCACAGGCTCTGTAGTTGTGGCACATGGGCTTAGCTGCCCCAGGGCATGTGAATCCTCCCAGACCAGGGATCGAACCCGTTTCCCCTGCATTGGCAGGCAGATTCTTAACCACTGGACCACAAGGGAAGTTCTTCATTACTTTCTTAAAAAGAAAATTCAGGCAGGTGATCTCTATGAGCTTCCCGATGCTGGCACAGGCTGTTTTCAGGCTAACATTTCTTTCCCAAATAGTATTTTGTTGTTCCAAACAACAGCCTTGAAAGAACATCACATAATATGAGGGGCTTTGTAAGGCAACTCTTTTCAATCTTCAGGTGGAAAAAGAAAATCATCGTACATTTAATAGTAGGTGATAACTGAGAATTTGTTTTTTCCTTATTCTTAAAAAGTATTTATTTCTTTGGCTATACCAGGTCTTGGTTGAGGCACTCAGATCTTTGCTCAATTACATTCCATACTTTCTTTATTAATTTCTCTCTGGCTGCACGGGGTCTTCCTTGTTGCTCGCAGGCTTTCTCCAGTTGCGCTGTGAGGTGTCTCATCGCACTGGCTCCTCGCATTGTGGAGCAGGGGCTCTAGGAAACACAGGCTTTAGCAGCTGCAGCACGTGGTTTCAGGCCTTTGACACTTGGGCTTCAGTAGTTGCCTCACATCAACTATGGAGCACAGGCTCTGTAGTTGTGGCACATGGGCTTAGCTGCCCCAGGGCATGTGAATCCTCCCAGACCAGGGATCGAACCCGTTTCCCCTGCATTGGCAGGCAGATTCTTAACCACTGGACCACAAGGGAAGTTCTTCATTACTTTCTTAAAAAGAAAATTCAGGCAGGTGATCTCTATGAGCTTCCCGATGCTGGCACAGGCTGTTTTCAGGCTAACATTTCTTTCCCAAATAGTATTTTGTTGTTCCAAACAACAGCCTTGAAAGAACATCACATAATATGAGGGGCTTTGTAAGGCAACTCTTTTCAATCTTCAGGTGGAAAAAGAAAATCATCGTACATTTAATAGTAGGTGATAACTGAGAATTTGTTTTTTCCTTATTCTTAAAAAGTATTTATTTCTTTGGCTATACCAGGTCTTGGTTGAGGCACTCAGATCTTTGCTCCTCCTTGTGGTACTCTGGCTGGATCTTTCAGTTGCAGCATGTGGGATCTATCTCCCAACCAGGAACTGAACCCACACCTCCTGCACTGGGAGCTTGGAGTCTTAGCCACGGAACCACTAGGGAAAACTCTGTTTTTTTATTTCTATAATTTCATTTCCAGTTTGAAAAAAAAATTCTTATATAAGACATATTACAAATTCATAATTTGTTCTTCATGCTCTTTCTACTCCATTATGTCTAGTATATATTACAATACTCACTGCTTATCACTGTTTCTACAGTATCTTCCCCTACCTTGAGATTTGCAATTACTGAACTTTTATCTGGTTAGAGAAATTTCTTGACTTTTTTTCTTAGGAAAAAAACATGGAGATATATTTGGTCTCTATACACTTGAAAAATTTGAATTTTATCCTAAATGTTGTATAGTATTTTCAGAGTAATTGAGATACTGCTATTGTCTCCTAGCTTCTAATTTCTACTTATTCTTAGATTTCAAGAAATTCATCTTTCTAGGGCTCAGTGTTCTTTCTTCAATCTGTATTCAAGTCTTTTCCTCTTGGTTTGGCAAGTTCAATTTTTCACTTAAAATCCCCAAAATATACCAAAATAATAACTGTGGTTATTTCTGGGCAGCAGGGTTACAGATCATATTTATTTTCTCCTTCACAGATTTCTGAATGTTTTTGATTTGTCTGGTAATTGACACATGCATACACAGAACAAAGTTATTAAATAGAAAAAAGTTTAAGTAAAAGAAACTAAGCCGTGTCTTCAAGTAAAAAAAACAAAGACTGAGAAATGGTACGAGGTTTAACAAGATGATTCTCCAACATCTGCTCTGTACTGCTTCCATTCCAGCCCCAGATTAGAAACTGATTTTGTGCTATTAAATTTAAAAACACACTCTTAGATTATGCTCAAAACTCCTGGGGCTGGCTAAAGGATTTCATTAGCATCTGTTCTCCAAAACAGAGCTTTCCCAACTCAAAAGCTAAGAATAATTTAATCTTTTTTCAAACAATACTATTATAATACTAAAAATTTTATTTATGCCTATCATGACCAAAAATTTATCAAGTATAGCTGTGCAGAAGCCAATTTTATTCTGAAATTTCAAATTCTTAAGAACAAGATGTCTAGGTATACAGGCAGTAAGCTAGTATTATAAATAGTTCTGTTTCTTGGCACAGGTATTTTTCTATTCATATGTGCTTGTTCTAAAGACAGCCAAAACAGTAACTGAATTGACAGCAACCTAGCCAGTATTTTCCCCTCTCCTCCTTCCTTAATGCAGACCCATGAGTTCATTTGGAGCAGTAAAATGCACAATTAAAAACGTTCTGCTCCCCAGACCATGTTACACTGGTTGGAGGATGGGCAGAGTCTGTCCCAGCTTTCTAGTTTCGAAGAGAGGTAAGCAAAGACAGGCCTAGGCTTCTGGGAAAAACTATTTTTTCTGTCTGAAAAAAAGAACTCAGCTGGCATGAGCCTTTTGCCCTTCTCCTTGCCTGTAACATTCACAAACATAATGAGCTACATGCTAAAGTTGATAAGAAACAGGAAAGAGAAGAGGAGCCCTGGTCCTGGGAGAAAACAAAATCCTTTGGTTACATTGATGTAAAATTTATATAAGAGCCTTAAAATCAGACAGACAAGAGAAATGTTAGTTATCCAAAAGAAATAAATCTTCTGACTTCGTTTAAAGCAAGCATATATAAGAAAATGTTATACCTGTGGGTCAAAAGACTGCTTGCTATGAAAGAGGAATCTACAATGCCATCATACAAAATGGATTTTTTAAATTCTAAGTTAACTAGTTCATACACAAAGAAACATTTAGCTAGCCCCTAAAATCCCATATGATATAGTCTAGCCTCCTATTCCTAGGACAGGCAGAAGTGGAGAGGAAAGATGACACAGATTATTTTTTATCAGTACTACAAAGTATAGGCCCAATAACCAATCCCTTTATAGCTTCTGCACACAATTATTATTATTATTATTATTATTATTATTATTGGGGCTTCCCTGGTGGCTCAGATGGTAAAGAATCCGCCTGCAATGCTGGAGACCAGAGTTCGATCCCTGGGTCAGGAAGATTCCTCTGAAGAAGAGAATGGCTACCCACTCCAGTATTCTTGCCTGGAGAACTCCATGGAGAGAAGAACCTGGTGGGCTACAATTATTGGGGTTGCAATTATTACTATAATTTATCATAAAATATCTCTGGGCAATTGTCCTAAGCTTCTAAAATATTATTTATAACAAAGTTTCCACATTATAAAATTAACTTCAAGATTTGAAGTTTTGTCTAACACAAGTGAGCCCTGTATAAAACAGTATAATAACCTCAAAAGACTGAGCAGAGAGCATTAGTAAATGTTAATATAAATCAACAATGGTTTTATGTAAAAGAACCTATATTCCAGCTCTCAAGAGGTTCAGATTTAATTAACTCATCTCTAAGATACAAAAGAAATATCATCACTTATTCAATAAAAATATAATAAATTCAGTAAATTGACCAGACTCTGTTTAACTTATGACAAAGAATTACTTCATTATTTTTTAAACTTTATTTCAACTTTCCTTTAGTTTTATAAAAAAAAAAAAATTCTTTTAACGAAATGTCAAATCAAACGGGGGACACAGAGTTTAAGAAAACCTACATGAAAACAGCTAAAACTAAATGCTACATGTAGAAAAAAATAAAGATCATAAAAAGCACAGAGTACTTCTGAATTTGCTTGTCTTTAAGTATATCTGTTAAAAAATGAATTTTCAAGAAGTTATTTGTGAGTAAAATATTAATCAGGTTATGTACGAGTCCAGAAATATAAACAAACATTTCTGTTTGTTACAAGCAAACAAAAAAACACCCAAGAAATAAGTATATTTCTTCTCCAAGCTTCCAGTGCCTAGTACAGCATTCTATAAATATTTGTTGAATGAATGAACAAACAAGGTCTATGACAAAGAAAAAAGATATATATAAAACACAGTCTGGTTCATAACACTTCAATCTAAGCTGTCTATACCAAGATAACTCTATTTTGGTGATGAGAGACAGGAGGACACATGAATGTCATCTCAGAAGGTTAATCAAATGTTGGAGTTCGCTTAGATGAGCTAGAACTAGAAAAGCCACTAACACCATCACAGTATGTAATTACAGGACTGCTCCAACTTACCTCACACAACATTCTACTGCACGAAACCAATGAGGCATCTCATCATGAAGAGTACACAACTGGAGGCAAGACAGAAACACCTTCTCGGCATCACTGTACCAGCCTGCATCTGAGAGAAAGCCACCTAGAGGACAAGAAAAACCAAAAACTTCAGATAATTTAACAATCACCTGAAAGCTAAAATGACATGCTTACCATGAACGTTATCTAAAATGGAAAAAACCTTTTTGTTTATTAGTTCAAAACAAAGACACCAACTATGAAATTTTTAAAATAATTTCAAACAAACTAGTGGCATTAGATCCAAGTTGAATCCCTGAATAAGGAACCAAGAGTTTTAACCTTCTAAAAATATTCCACTAAGAGCTGACATTTTCCAGTTAATTAGCCACTATATTTAGTGATTTTTCTAACATTTTCATCACGCAGGGTTAACATTAACTTTTCAATCAAATAAACTTCATCTTCTTCCAATAAAGCACATGACAGAGGACACACAGATTAAGAAAGACAGTAGTGCTAGATCATCTCTATTTTTTTTTAAGCAAAAAATTAAACTGCTGTCCTTCAACAGTCCTAATGCACTGAGCATCTAGGCATCACTTCCTTAGAATACTGTCCATCTTTTTTGAGGCTCAATACCCCCTCCTAGTGGTTTAATACATTTTTTGATAGTGCCAATTAGTCTTAATAGTGTCAACAGAAACTGGGTTGAAGAAAGAATATTTTGCTCAGACTGGTGTTTTATGTTTAATTGTGTGTAATGAAACAAATATTTTAAATGGAGAGAAATGTGCCTTAGAATACTTCTTCCCCTAAATATGATTATTATTTTAGGGTACTCACTAAATGACTAGATTAATGTGATTATAATAGTCATATTAAGCAATCTCCTACTCATCATCTCAACATACTGAGCATTGTGCTGGTTATTAGGCTATCATGTCTTTCAGCTTCAAACCAACCTTTCTAGGCTATTTGATGACGCGGGGCTAGGACTCTATTATCCCATTTCTCCTTTGCCAGCTGGTCCCCTGGTAGTCTCTATAAAAAAATGCATCAGAGAGAAGGCTGCAAGGCTGCAGAAATAAGAGACACTCCCCAGTCCCTCCTGGTTTCGGTCAGAAAGGGCTCTGCTGACAGTGCCCAAAGGTAATGCTTCTTTACTCCGGCAGTGCAATTCATCTCTCAAGTCAATTTCAGTTGCAGATCTCCAACACTTACAAATCTAGATTCACAGTATCCCATCAAAGAACTAGGTGCCCCTCCTAGAGGTCAAGATTCTAGACCCATGGGCCCTCTTCTCAGAATTCTGAGGCACCCATACCAGTGAAGCAGGATCCCAGCTTTGCGATGACCATGCAGCTTGTGGGATCTTAAGTTTTAAAACCTTTGCACTGTATACTTTGACTGGGTAAACTGCATGGCCTATGAAGTACATCTCAATAAAGCTGCAATTTTTAAAAAAGTGTACATCCCACAGACTTCTGGTATTACTGTTTCAGTAATTTTAGGATCAAGACTGATAATATAGATGTTCAATCTGGCTCCTTACAGAGGTCAGATTGATATGAGTGTAGAGATAACAGAAGAGCTCAGTGAATATTAGCCTTCCTGCCTTTTGTCTTCCTTAATACTAAATATCTCCCATATAGATTTTTACATGACCATCTAGGACTAAATGGATGTCAATATTAACATTCATCAAGATCATAAACACGCTGTTAACAGACATTCTTAAGTCATAATTCTTTGTTGCAATTTATAGTCCATGGGACGATCAAAGGATAAATGATGAAAATTTTTTTCAGAAAAGGATGGTGAGTTCCTCCAGCAAACTGTCTATGACCACTACAAAAAATTTTCTCTAATATTGAAGGAAATGACCATGAAAATTTGTTGGTGAAGAATATATGTGGATGTGCAAGAGAGAGACACACACACATTAATGTGAGAAGTTAAAAATGAGTGGCAGACATATGTAAAATAGGGCAAGTTTGATGCATGAAGCAGAGCACCCAAAGTTCATGCTCTGTGACAACCCAGAGGGACAGGGAGGGAGGTGGGAGGGAGGTTCAGAAGCGGGGGACGACACATGTATACCTGTGGCAGATTCATGTTGACGTATGGCAAAACCCACCACAATACTGTAAAGCAATTATCCTCCAATTAAAATAAATAAATAATTTCTTAAAAGAATGGTAGAATGTAATGATGGAACAGTCCTGTATCCTGATGGTAATGGTGGTTATATGAATATTTACATGGAATCAACTGCATAGAAAAAGCATACACGACAACTCAAAAACCAAACACTCCAGTTAAAAATGGGCAGAGGACCTGAATAGACATTTTTCCAAAAAAGACTTACAGATGACCAACAGACACATGAAAAGATGCTTAACATCACTAATCATCAGGCAAATGCATATCAAAACCACAATGAGATATCACCTCCTACCTATCAGGATGGCTACTACCACAAAACAATAATTAACAAGTATTCATGAGAATGTGAAGAAAAAGGAACCTCCTGCGCTGTTTGTAGGATTGTAAATTGGCACAGCTACTATGGAAAACAGTATGGAGGTTGCTCAAAAAATAACAAATAGAACTGCCATATGATCCAGCAGTCTCACTTCTTAGTATTTACCCAAAAAAAAGGCAAAAACACTAATTCAAAAAGATACACGCACCCCAATGTTCACTGCAGCATTATTTATAATAGCCAAGATATGTAAGCAACCTGAATTCATCAACAGATGAATGGACAAAAAAGGTATGAGATACATTTTATACACACATACAGTAGAATACTACCCGATCACAATCTTTTAAAAAAGGAGAAATCTTGCAACAACACAGATAAATCTGAAGGGTATCACGCTAAATGAATTAAGTCAGAGAAAGAAAAATATCATATTATCTCACTTATATGTAGAATCCAAAACAAAATGAAAATAGAGTCATAAATATACCAACCAAACAGCTGGTTGCCAGAGAAAGGAGGTGGGGATGGGGTGAAATAGGTGAAGGGGATTAAGCAGTATGAACCTCCAGTTAGAAAACTGGAATATAATATAGGAATATAATATATAGCCTAAGAAACATGGTCAATATTATTGTAATAACTTTGTATGGGGACTATACTTGTCACGCAATCATTTCATAATGTATACAAATTCCAAATCATTGTGCAGTATGCCTGAAACCAACATAATATTGTAGGTCAACTACATTTAAATTAAACACACACACACAAATGAGTATATATAAAAACTAATGAACGTTAAATATTGGATTGCTCAGAAAGTTCCTTTTGAGTATTTCTGTAAGATGTTACGGAAAAACTCGAACAAACGTTTTGGTTAACCTAATAGGTTTGTAGTTTAGGTAAAACTATGAAACCAGTATCAATTTCCTGATTTTGATACTGTCAGTGAGTCTACAATCATTTCAAGATAAGTATTTGACAAAAAAGGGTAGCAATAACTTCAATAATAAGTGCCTGAAACGTATTTACCTATGTAAATAATTTATAAAAGTTGTATTAAAATATTATGCAAAAGTTAAACAGTATTTTTTTGTACGTGTAGCATAAAAATCTTTTTAGAATCCTTTTCCATTTATGTTTGCAATATTCGTGAACATGCCCATGAGGAATGCAGATTTACCCTCATTTTAGAGATGGGAAAACTCAGGTGCCAAAAGAACTTTGCCCCATGTCACAGCTGTGAAGAGGCTGGTAGCAGTCTGACACAGTAGAAACTTAACTGGTATGGAATCACAAACCCACAGGGTTCTAAACTTAGCTCCATTACTATGTGACTTGGGCAAGTTACTCAACTTTTCTGAGTCTATTTCCTCATTTGTAAAATGCTATTAATACCATCACATCACTAGAATTTCATGAGGATTTTTTTGGAAAGATAGTATTTAAATGCATAGTATAGTCCTTAGCACAAAGTTAATGCTCAACGTATCACACCTAGCTCTTCCGATGTTTTCCTCGTAACCTCTTTATGTTGACTTTGGGAATGTACTGGCAGAATCCTATAATGCCAGCAGGTTTAATTCTGAGTCAGGTCACAGGACAAAACCCTCCTCTATTTTACCAAGACCTACCTAAGACAAAGCCGACCTGAATGGCTTTCTCCTTTACCGCAGCATCCGACTCCGCTATATACGAGCACCGTCTACTGAATGAGTAGGCTAAGACTGAAGCAACTTTCACACCGTGATCCATCAGAGCCTGGAAACAATGATGAAGCAAATGTCTGCAAGAGAAGGAAGAGGTCACTATTGTTATTAGAAAGGTAACATATTTTGTCCTTTTAGAAAACACTTATTTGCCTTTTTGAAGTAATAATACCATTATTTTCAAAGATGGGTTAAGATAAAAAGCAGCTTTTTGCCTGTTATGATGCCATAATAATTCACAGTTAGCCTAATATTTTTTACTCAGTGGATTGAGTGATTCTATATGTGTACATTGATGACAGTGAAGGATAAAATGAACTTCTAACATCAATTTTTAAAACCAAATTATCTTGTAGTTCAACAATGGCCCAATTTAAAAATGGGCACTAGATCTGAATAGAGATTTCTCCAAAGAAAATACACAAATGGCCAATAACCACAAGAAAAGACGCTCAATATCATTAGTCATTAGGGAAATGCAAATCAACTCACAAATGAAATACCACTTCACACCATCTAAGATGGCTATAATAATACTTAAAAAGTGATGGCAAGGATATGGAAAAATTTGAACCTTCATACATGGGGGTGTGTACATATGCTAAGTCATGTCTGTTGTGTCTGATTCTTGCAACCCTATGGACTGTAGCCCACCAGGCTCCTCTGTCCATGGGATTCTCCAGACAAGAATACTGGAGTGGGCTGTCATGCCCTCATCCAGGGGATCTTCCCAACCCAGGGATCGAATTTGGTTCTCTTGCATTGGCAGGTGGGTTCTTTACCACTAGTGCCACCTGGGAAGCCCTCATACATGGGAGTAGGAACATAAAATGGTGCAGCTGCTGTGGAAAACAATTTAGGGGTTACTCAACCTAGTTACATATGCATACAAGAGAACATTATGTCCACACAAAGTCTTGTCCATGAGCACTCACAGCAGTATTATTCATAATAGCCAAAAAGTAGAAACAACCCAAGTGTCCATCAACAGATGACTAAATAACCAAAACACAGTATATCCATATGACGTAAAATTATTCATGAAAAGGAATGAAAAGTACTGAAACAACAACCATGAATGAATCTTGAAAACATTATAAGTAAAATTCAGTCACAAAAGAGCATGTATTTTATGATTCCATTTATATGAAATGTCTAGAATACATACATCCAGAGACAGAAAGTAGATTATGGGTAGGCCAGGGACTAGGGGTAAGGGGAAACAAACAGAAAGTGACTGTTAATGGGTACCAGGTATCTTTTTGGGATGATGAAAATGTTCCAGAATTAGACAGTGGTGATAGTTGCAGAAACTTATGGAAATACTAAAAACCACTGAATTGTACAGTTCAAAATGGTGAGTTTATGGTATGTGAATCATCTCAATAAAAAAACTGTTTTAAACAAAACTGTAAATAACAAAGTCACTGCTTTGGATAAACAGGAGGCAAAGTCAAACTACATGCTTTTAGTTTCACAAATACATTAAACACTTATCAAGGGATTTGGACTTGGTCAAAGGTAACCTGAGAGATAAAAGAGAGGTAGTCTACTAAATCTTTACAATGGCCATCTTTAGAACTGCATAGAGAAATTCAAATACCAGAAAACTAACCTTTTCTTATAGAATTTTTTAGGAAAGTTTTCCTATAGCTTTCTTGTCCCAAAATGAAGTTCTCATCTGTTATTTTTCTACAGATTAATTTTAATTAATCAACTAACCAAGAAATTTCTCTTAGGCTAAGTACATAGGCCTCATCCAAAGGCATCCCTGAACAGTGAAATCATGTGATTTACCTGTTGATTACTGTATCATCCCTTTCTAAAATACAAATTCCATGAGGAAGAGACCTTGAGGAACTTACTAACTGCTGTAACCCAACATCTAAAACAGTATCTGACACACACAGGCATTCTAATAAGTATTTACTTAATTTGTTGAACAAATGAAATAACTTGCCAACGTTCATACTAGAGATTGTAAAGTATTTTGTAAACTTATATTCTTATTTTCCTAGAAATGTAGGTTAGAAAAAAGAAATCGCACTTAAATTTAGGGAAGAATAACAGCAAGCACAATCAAAGGCCATGTCACCTACACCTACATGTAACTCCTACCACATAATAGCCAGAACATGGAAGATGAATTCATTCTTTGTTTTTTGAACGCAGAAAGCAAGGGTGGTATTGATGGTTTCAAAACAAAATAATGTACTTAAGGCTACTGAATTGTAAACTTAAAAAACAATCACAATGGTAAAATTTAGAATATGTATAGTATAGTTTACCACAATCGTTACAAAATGAATTTACCTTTTATCCAAAGCTCTCAATACTTTACCAAAAACTTCCAATTCACAAAATTCACTGCCCAGTTGACACAAGCGTCCCTGCTGGTATAGCTGAAATTAAAAACAAACAAAAAATAGATCACAGAAAAAAATTTAATCCAATTTCTACTTTAATGATACTTATAATTTCATGGACTTAATACTTCATGAATCATGACTACTGCTCAAAGTTACAATTACACAGTAATATCAGAAAAGATGCTTATGCTAAGAGAAATGTAATGCCAAATTAACAAATCTCTGTAATTCATACATTTTAACAGTCACATAAAATAGCTAGATATTAATATTTATAAAAGAGTATCTGGTAAATGCTAAGTAACAAAAAATGCTATATATTATAATTACCTATTAAACATTAAAACAGTTATAGTCAAGAAACTTAACTTTTTTCCTTAAAACTGGATAAAGTAAAATTATCAAAATAATAGCAAAGATAATGTCCAGAAGCCAGAAATAGGCACTATGCCCCATTAAGGGCTCTTCAGACCACACGAATCTCAGATCAGTACTGGGCATGAAACTTCACAAGCAGACTAACAGTACATCATGTCTAAAGCAATCCAGTATGGCACGATTTCTAATCATGTCATTCATTCCTTTCGCCTGACTTTCTAAAACTTCCATTTAAAACAATATTTAAATAAATGTATTAAATGTTTATCCCAAATAATACATACACACAGTTAAAAAAAATACTACTGCCCCTCTTTCCTGTGCCTCAACTTCACCATATGTTACTCAATTTATATTTGCTATACAGCGCCTTATGGAAGGCAGAGATTTTGCTCTATCAACTCACTTTTTACATTATAAGCACTTAACACTTAGCTCATTTGACAAAAACATGCGTTTCAGAAAGAGGACATGCTCCTGAATTCATTTTCCAAATAGGCTAGTTAATTTTGCACAGGGAAAACATAACTACAAATTCAACCAGCAAACTCAACCAGCAAACTCAGGGATAAATCACTAGTCACAATGGGGGTGGAGTGTGTGTGTGTTGGCGGGGGGATGTATGGGGGGTGTGTGTGTCAGTTGCTCAGTCGTGTCTGACTCTTTGCAACTCCATAGATTGGGGCCCGCCAGCCTCCCCCATCCATGGGAATTTCCAGGCAAGAATACTGGAGTGGGTTGCCATTCCCTTCTCCAGGGGATTTTTCCGACCCAGGGATCAAACCCTGGCCTCCTGCCTTGCAGGCAGACTCCTTACTGTCTGAGCCAGCAGGGAAGACCGGTCATGATGGGGGCCAGGTCATATTAGGTAGATACAGGACTACCACGCAACAATGACCACCTGGCAGGGACTTCCCTGGTGGTCCAGTGGTTGGAATCCTTCTTCCAATGCTTGGGATGAGGTTCGAATCCTCGTCAGGGAACCAAGATCCCACATGCCGCAGGGCAACTAAGCCCACAGCACGACTACTGAGCCTGCAGGCTCCAGAGCCCGTGATTCCCAGGAGAAGGCCACGGGAAACAACCAAGACTCATCAGAGCACACACATGCCCTCCCCCGGCCCCAAAGACTTCTGTGAACCATCCATGATGACTGCTGGGGGGAGAGAGGGTAAGAGCTACCTACCACATGCTCAGCAAGGGGAGGCAGAAAGGTTATCTTCACACAGTGCTTGGATACTCATATGAACCATAAACCTTCATAAGGAAAGATTTGCTATTTTTGGAGATGATTACGTTTTCTGTGGTAAAAATAAATAATAAAAAGAGCTTCTTGGAATGCATATGATAAAATTCACTACCATCACATACATCTTCACTATTAACCAACAAAGGAAAAACTCAGGAAAAATAAAGCTGAGAATTCATAATCAAACCCCTATTTTGGGACTTACCAGTATTATAAATTTCTGATTTGGGACAGAAAAATAAACGCAGTTAACAAAATACATACATATACATACTTCAAAAAGAGTTTAGGACCAAAAAACCTTAGTTTCTTATAAAAATAACCCACTAGTAAACTTAATACTTAGAATTTCTTTTGTAAAATATAAGAAATGAAAGTTATACCACTTTTTAACCTGTATTCACTAGTCAAATAAAAACAACTGAACTATATGTTCTATAACGCATAATATCCCTATAATACTGAAAATTTCCTAACAAATGGGGTTTGAAGGAAAGCCGTAAGCTTAGTTACCATTTTAAATGTATTAAAAGTATGCCTATTAATAAACACAAGCTTTTTTAAAAATCTCTCAGGAGTTCACTTTTTCTGGCTACAAATGGGTCCACATTTAAATCTGGGGTAAAGAATAGTGATTTAACTGTTTCAAATGATCCAATCATCTTTTCATGCACAGGAGCTATACTTCAGTTAAAAAAAAAAAACAAAAAACCACCTTATCAGGCTTCTCCCCCAAAATGCAAATTTATACATTATATGAACAGGACTTCTGAATACCAATCCAAAATAAATAGCATTTACTGTGCCAGGTACTGTTCTAAACACTTTTCATAAGCAACTCATTCTGTCCTTCCACAGATAAGGAAACTGAGGCATATAAAGTTAAATAATTTGCTCAAAATCGTACAATTAAGAAGCAGCAGGATGACAATCTCCAGGTAGTCTGTCCTTAAATCCATGTTCTTCATAACTTACACTATAATACTTTTCAAAGGTATTATATCAGGAAGTAAGAAAGAGTATAAAATAAGCAATTTAAAACATTTTTATAGAAATAATAGAAGATTAATTCCTTCTTAGATTCACGTATCTTACAGAGTAGAGCTTAGAAGAAAGAAAACTGAGGCCCTAGGTTCTTTGATAATGATTCTTACATCAGATATTTCAAAATTTGACTTATTTTAGTTCATTATTATATAATGTGTTTTAATATTAAATTCTGCACCCACTGAGTAAGGAGGTTATTAAAGCACTAGCAACTACTTTTAGCTATTGATACCTTAAAGAAAATAAGAAAGAACAAGTTTATTTTTTAGAAGTATGTAAACTATCTCCCAACAGATATGAAAACAGACAATAAAAATACAACTAAAACAATACTGTACAAGTATGAAGACAGACCAATCAACGCAACAAAATGCAGAGTTCAAAAGCAGATCTTAGTATACATAAAAACTTAACATTTGATAAAGGGAGCATTTTAAAATCATTAAAAGAAAAAATTAGTTAATAAAGAACGCATAAAAATGAAGAAACAAAGTAAGGTACCTCCTGATAGAACAAAAATAAATCCCAGTCTTATCAAAGTTCTAAATATTAATATTAAACAATAAAGTAACATCCATGTTAAAAGTTACCTTGTAACACTGCCCTTCTAAAAGCATTATATACTACAGGCAAAATCATAAAGGAAGAAGAGATATGTGATTTCATAAACACCGAAAATGTCCATGAGTATAAAATACTGTAAACAAAAATTTAAAATATAACAAAAATAAAATATTAGGAACATACTTGTGTTGGATTTAATATCTTGAATACATAAAGGGGTGAAACTCGTGGTGATGTTTCAGAAGCAAGGGCTTTCAGACATTAAACATTTTTTCTATAAAAACTAAAGGCAGCTATTGCAAGGGTAATGCAAGACAGCCTCAAACCCAGAGAACTCTTTGAAAGATAAAGATGGAGATGAAAGCCTTCCTTAGCCCAAGACATTCTGAACTGACATACCTGCTTTCTCAGCCAATCCAAAATTACCAGGCTGAGTTAACAGTTTAGCATTAATAGCTAACAAAATAACCCAGGCTAATTCCCAACAACAAAAACTTCAGAAAGGTTTAGAAAAAGACATAAAAGAAACAGCCCAAAACTATGGTCTAAGAATAACTACAAAGTCACAAACACACCCACTCACACATACTTTATGAAACTCATGTATCTCACTCATGTCTGAAACAGTTTCCCCTCTCTTTCAGTCACAGAAGAACTGCTGATATTGTGCTTATGGTGGAAGCACCAAGCGGAAGGAAAATGAGAGAAGGCAGGATGCAACAGTCCAATAATCCCTAAGCATCTATGGTACAGGATTTATATTTCACATCTTTTACCGGATTACTGCAAATGTTTCATAAAACTAGTCTTTCCATCAAACCAGTCAATCCTAAAGGAAATCAGTCCTGAATATTCACTGGAAGGACTGATGCTGAAGCTCCAATACTTTGGCCACCTGATGTGAAGAACTGACTCACTGGAAAAGGCCCTGATGCTGGGAAAGACTGAAGGCAGAAGGGGATGACAGAGGATGATATGTTTGGATGGCATCACCAACTCAATCGACACGAGTTTGAGTAAGCTCCGGGATTGGTGGACTGGGAAGCCTGGCGTGCTGCAGTCCATGGGGTTGCAGAGAGTCAGACACAGCCGAGCGACTGAACTTAACTGAGTCTTTCCATTACCATTCTTGTTCTCCTCTAATCAACGTCCACATAGCAAGCAGAATGAACTTTTGAAAAAGTGAATCATTTCATGCCATTACTGTTTAAAAGCATGCACCTTCAATGTGTACGTAATCCAAAATTGTTAATGTGGTCTACCAGTCTCTAAAAGTCATCCAACTCCTACCAGCTTTCAAACCTCATCTTTCACCATTCTTTCTCCCTGATCCCCGACACATTTCTGCCACACTAACTTTCCTTTACTTCTATTCCACCTCCTGACATTTTGTACACAAACCTGCTGCCTGCACATGAAACACTGATGCCATGATTCTTTATTTGGTTAATTTCTAACCATCCTACTGATCTCAGCTAACACCTCACTTTTTCAGAGACCTTCCCCTGACTCCCCAAACTAAGTTCTGTTCCCTGTTATACCTGCTCATAATATTTATTTTTCTTCCACAGGTGCACAAAGGCATGCACGCACACATACATTTAAGTGATAATTTGTTAAACATGTCATTCCATTACACTCTACAGTCTGACCACTTTCACCACTATATTATCAATGCCCAACACAATGCCTAGGAATAGCCATACATTCAATATTACCTGAATGCAAAATCCAAACTGGTAGCAATCTGCTCTGGGTAGAACTAAGAACCTTAGAGGAAACAAACAAAAATTAA